GGAACTGGGAAATTGTTTGTTGACAGTCAGTCGCCCCTTCGCTGTGAAGTTGAGCTTGTGCTGTCTTGAGTCCAATATCCTTCGTTGTGAAGTTGAAATTGGCTCTGAAATTGGGAAGTTGACATTCAGCCGCCCCTTCGCTGTGAAATTGAGCTTGTGCTATCTTGAGTCCAACATCCTTCGTTGTGAAGTTGAAATTGGCTATGAAATTGGGAAGCCCCTTCGTCGTGAAGTTGAGCCTCAAATGGCACGATATCCTCCGTCGTGGAGTTGAAATCGTGGATGTGTGGGTACGATATCCTCCGTCGTGGAGTTGAAATCCACGACGTCGTGAAGTTGAGCCTTGACTTGAATATCCTTCGCCGTGAAGTTGAAATCCAAGTATTGTATGTTGTGGGTGGACACGATTCCCTTTGCCGTGAAGTTGAAACCGTGGATGACCCCTTTATTGTGAAGTTTAACTTCGATCTAGATATCCTTTGTCGTGAAGTTGAAATTTACTCTCGAGCAAATTGTATCACTTTGAGTTCAATATCCTTCGTTGCGAAGTTGAAATTGACTCTAGCTAAAACCTGAAAAAGTTATGCATATATGTGATGCTATGTATGCAATGCTCTTAGGTGTGCCTAAAATGCATATGCAACATATGTTATCTTGGGGCTCTGGAGAGAAATCTCAATCTCCAGTTGCCTGTCTGGAATCTTGAAATTCCGATCCCTGGTCTTGAATTCTTCAAATGTTGAAATCTGATGTGCATATTTTGTTTTTTTATCCTTGATTCGGGAATTACTTCTCGACCATCTCAAGTATATGCATGAGCCTCGATCGGCTTCCGGGTACCTGTACCTTTGTACAGTAATACGCGATTATCTTTTGCATAAGTAGATAAATCATTGAGTTTAAGTTCAATTCAAGATGCTCGAAAGGAATTAATTTAGAGAAAAAGATTGTTTTTATTCATAAAGGAGAAAAAGAACAAATAATATATGACAAACATTTTGGAAAATGAATAAATGATGAAGTATGAGATCTCGATAAGGTGGGCACTTCTGAGCTGAAAAAGCCATCAGGTGACTTTGAACATAGCCTTTGCCAAGGGATCTTTGAAAATGCGACAACATTCTGGAGAGTGCAACCTTTCTCCGACTTGTTGAGTTTGTAGGAGATTCAGATGCCGGGATGCATCCAATGTCTGGATTTCTTGAACTGATATCCAAATCGCCCTCTCGGGTTTTCAATTTGGACACATCATTGGTTGCAAGACGCCCTTTGCGGGTTTTCATCTTGAACCCACCTTATTTTTCTTTTCTTTTTTCTTTTGTTCTTTTGTTCTTTTTTCTCTTTTTCTTTCTTCAATTTAGGGCGCCCTTTCGGGTTTTTACCCTAAACATCTTTTTCTCTTTTTTCAACTTAGGACGCCCTCTTGGGTTTTCATCCTAAGCAAAGTACTTTTTGACTACATCCGAGTTGATGGGATGTGGCAGTTCAGGTCCGTCCATTTCAGCCAGGACAAGGGCTCCTCCAGAGAAGGCATTTTTCACGACATAAGGTCATTCCCAATTTGGAGTCCATTTTCCTTGAAAATCTTTCTGGACTGGCCAAATTCTTTTTAGTACCAGATCTCCTTCATGGAATATTCTCGGGCGCACCTTTTTATCATGTGCTCGGATCATTCGTTTCTGATAGATTTGACCATGATGAATGGCTTTCAGTCTCTTTTCATCTATCAGGTTAAGCTGATCATATCTGGATTGTACCCATTCTGCATCATCCAGTTTGACCTCTGTCAAGACCCGGAGTGACAGAATCTCTACTTCAATGGGTAGCACTGCTTCCATTCCATAAGCTAGTGAAAATGGAGTTGCCCCAGTCGAGGTTCGTACTGAGGTTCGATAAGCGAACAAAGCAAAATGCAACTTCTCATGCTAGTCTTTGTAAGTTTCAGTCGTTTTCTCCACTATCTTCTTAATGTTTTTGTTTGCTGCTTCTACTGCTCCGTTTATCTTTGGTCTGTAAGCAGTGGAATTGTGATGTTTTATGTTGAACAGTTCACAAGTAGCATTCATCATTTTGTTGTTCAAGTTTGTAGCGTTATCGGTGATGATCCTTTCAGGTAGACCATACCGACATATGATTTCTTTTTCCAGGAACTTGTAAATAGTGGACTGAGTGACACTAGCATATGATGCAGCCTCTACCCATTTCATGAAATAGTCAATCGCTACGAGAATGAAACGGTGACCATTCGAAGCCTTCGGATGAATTTGTTCGTTAACGTCCATGCCCCACACTAAGAAAGGCCAGGGCGATGTCATTACATGAAGTGGATGAGGTGGAACATTGATTTTATCACCGTAAATATGACCTTTATGACATCTTCTAGCATAGTTGATGCAATAATTTTTCAGTGTGGACCAAAAATATCTGCATCTCATTATTTGTCTTGACATCATATGTCCATTTGCATGTGCTCCACAAACTCCATCATGTACTTCTTCCACTATCATTTTTACCTCTTTAGCATCGACGCACCTTAACAGGACTTGATTATGGCTCTTCTTGTATAAGACATCTCCGTCAAGGACGTATCCAGCTGTCATCCTTCTAAGGGTTCTCTTATCGATTTCAGTGACTTCTTCTGGATAACTTCGATGCTTAATATACAGCAGAATGTCGTAGTACCAAGGCTTAGTGTCTTTCACTTCTTCAATTTGGTAATAATGAACCGGGTACTCATACGACTGCATGTTGATTGGCATCATTTCAGACTCCCTGCCAGCCTTGAATGCGGCTGCCAAGGTAGCTAAAGCGTCAGCCATTTGATTTTCTTCTCTAGGCACGTAGTGGAAGGTGACTTCATCGAATTCTTCAAGCAGATCCAGTATTAGTCTCCTATTCCATCAGCTTTGTATCCTTGGTTTCCCATTCTCCGCGAAGCTGATAGATTACTAACGCTGAATCTCCGTATCCTCAAGGTATTTATGCTTTGCCCAGTGCTGCTCGGATTCCCAAGACACATGCTTCATACTCTGCCATGTTTTGGTGCAATCGAAGTTCAGTCTATTGGTAAATGGGTAGTGATTTCCTTTTGGAGAGATCAGGATTGCCCCGATGCCATGTCCTAATGCATTTGATGCACCATCGAAATGCATTCTCCAGGAACTGTCCATTGAAGTACTTGATTCTTCTAAGGATATAACCATCAATTCTTCGTCTGGAAAGTCAAAGTTCAAAGGCTCGTAACTCTCATCGGTTCTACTTGCCAAGAACTCCGATATGGCACTCCCTTTGACTGCTTTCTGGCTCACGTACTCGATGTCAAATTCATACAAGAGCATCTGCCATCGGGCTAACCTTCCAGATAGAGCAGGTACACCCATCATGTACTTAAGGGGATCTAACTTGGAAATCAGCCAAGTGGTATGATACAACATGTATTGTCAGAGTCTTTTTGTAGCCCAACTAAGCACAACAAACCTTCCCGATAGGAGAATATCTGACCTCGCAATCGGTGAACTTCTTGTTTAAATAGTAGATGGCTCTTTCCTTCTTCCCGGATTCATCATGTTGACCTAGGACACACCCCATGGAGTTCTCGAATATGGAAATATACAAGAACAGAGGTTTGCCCGGGATAGGGGACATCAGGACAGGAGAGTGAGACAAATACTCCTTCACTTTCTCGAATGCAGTTTGGCATTTTTCATCCCATGTTCCAGGGTTGTTCTTTCGGAGAAGACGGAAGATTAGATCATATTTGTCGGTTAACTGAGATATGAACCGTGCTATGTAATTCAATCTACCTAGAAAACCTCGAACCTCCTTCTGTATTCGTAGGAAAGGCAGATTTTGGATAGCCTTGACTTTATCGGGATCGACTTCGATGCCTTTTCTGCTGACTACGAAGCTTAATAGTTTCCCGGATGTTACCCCGAAGGTGCACTTGTTAGGGTTCAATCTCAGTTGGAACTTCCTCAATCTCTGAAAGAGCTTCCTCAGATTCTCGACATGCTTATTCTCGGTTTGTGCCTTGACAATCATGTCGTCGACATAAACTTCAATTTTTTTGTGCATTATGTCATGGAATAGGGTCACCATAACTCTCTGATACGTTACCCCAGCATTCTTCAAACCGAAGAGCATCACTTTATAACAAAAAGTTCCCCATATCGTAACGAACATGGTATTCTCCATGTCTTCAGGATGCATCTTGATCTGGTTATATCCCGAGAATCCATTCATGAATGAAAAGAAAACGTTCCCAGTTGTATTGTCTACCAACGTGTCAATGTGAGGCAGAGGAAAGTTATCTTTAGGGATCGCCTTGTTAAGGTCCCGGTAATCGACGCACATACGAACCTTCCCGTCTTTCTTCGGAACTGGCACTATATTGGCCACCCACTCTGGATACTTAGCCACTTGAAGAAAACCAGCATCAAATTGCTTCTGGACTTCTTCTTTAATTCTAAGGAGCATCTCAGGTTGCATCCTTCTCAGTTTCTGTTGCACGGGTTTGCACTCTGGCTTAATTGACAGTTTATGAACTACCATATCTGTGTCTAGTCCCGGCATGTCTTGGTATGACCAGGCGAACACATCTCTATACTCCTGAAGTAAAATATCAGGTTTTGTCTTGCTTCATCCGAGAGAGTTGTGCCGATTTTAACCTCCTTTCTGTCATCTTCAGTGCCCAGATTCAAGATTTTGATAGCCTTCTTATGTGGTAGTATTTGCTTCTCTTCTCTTTCTACTATTCTCAACAATTCGGTAAGCAAGTTACACTCCTCTTTAGTGTCGCATTCATCAAATTCCCTAAGACAAATAGCCGATTCAAAATCCACTTTCGGATCAAGATCATCAATGCCTATATTATCATTATCTGGGGTCCTGAAGGAACAAAGAAGATATGTGTGTGAGAGAGGAAATATCCTACACGAAATAGTCAAGAATCAAATTCGAAAAAATGGAAATGTAGTGCTAAAATGAAGAAAATATACAACAAATTCCAAAAAAGAAATGAAAGAAAATTTGTTTGCCATGTGCATAGGGAAAAAATGCATCTTTTATTGAACGTAAACAAAATGTTTATTCACCCTTACAAAAGATCACCTATTGCCCCAGGTATAGGAAAATAGGGATAGTTCGAATATTACTCTGAAAAATTCTTGTAAACCACAGGTAGTTCTTCTACCGACCAACTGCTAGGTACGAACCCAGGTGGCAGAGGGCATGTCCCGGATCTGTCTTCATTGTCAACATCTTTTGTGGTCACGTCATTAATGTTCAGATCTTCCAGAGCTACTTCTAAGTCGGATGAGGTGGTCTCGAACACACAACCACCTGACTTGAATGTATGGTAAAGAGGCGGGAATATCATAGGCTTCCATTGAATTTCATTTCCAATCAACCTGGCTATCATTCTATCCCGGTTCTTCTGGACTTCCTTCCTCTTTTCATGATAACTCGGCTGAAAATCGAGCCCAAACTGGTCTAATTTTGAAATAGGAAGGACTGAACTAATCATTCCTTGCAAATATTTCCCAAAACCTCTCCCCGGTCCTAGCGACTCTTCCCAAAGTCTGCATGATCTCCATTCTGGTGCACTTGGAGAGTCGGGGCGTAGGGATTCTTCTTCCTTCTGCCACGAATGTGGCATTCACAAACTCTAGGGAGCGGAAGGAGCATTCCACTACTTCCTCATCTACTTTGATATACGGGGCCTCTGTGGTCACACTTGCCACGATATCTTCCTCAGCATTGATAATTACCCCGTCAGGTGCAGCGTGGAGGGTACTGCACATGCTTGATGAATCCATGGCCTTCCCAAAAGACAGCTATAGGACAGCATGTTATCCATCACAAGGAACTCGATATCATAAGTGGCTGGTCCGATGGTCAACAGTACCTCGATCTTACTGACTACCTCTCTTTTGGTCCCGTCAAATGCTCGAACCACGTTTTGACAGGCTCTCATGTGAGAGGTATCTATTGGCAGCCTCTTCAATGTCACCAAAGATATCATGTTCAGGGCCGAGCCGTTATCGATCAACACACTCGGTAAGACATGTCCCTTACAATAGGTAGTGATGTGCAATGCCTTAGTTCGGCCTCTTCCTCCGGATGGAATCTCATCATCTGAAAACGAGATGAGATTATCAGCTTGAATAATGTTCACCAGTCGATCCATCTTGCTAACTGGTATGTCCTGTGGCACGAACGTTTGATTAAGGACTTTTAGCAATGCCTCTCGGTGTGCTTCCGAGTTTAAAAATAGTGCTAGCATTAAAGTACGCATAAGTAAGTTGTGGAGCTGCTCTACAATATTATACTCGCTGTGCTTCAAGATCTCGATGAAATCTTTAGCTTCTTCCTCCTTTATAGGTTCGTTGACAACTAGCACATATTCTTTGAATGGCTCAAGTGGTCTTTGCCCCACTTTGCTATCACATCCTTTGGAAGTACTCACCTGGCATTCGTACTTCCATGGCACTTGTCGATTTTCCTTGTATTGAAAAGGCCGAGGTACTGTGATTACCACCTTGGCTGGTGTTGTTATCTTTGCCTTAGGGGTAATTATTGAAGGACTACCCCTACCAAATCTTTTGTCTGATGATTCTTCAATAGCACAAACCTCTGCTTCCAAAGAATCTTGAATTTCTTCATAAAATTCCAGCTCTTTCCGGTCCATCATGAGCTGGACTATCGATCTGAATTCCATGCACTCTTGCACATTGTGCCCCTCTTCATTGTGGTAACAACAATGGTTACCATTTTCAATCCTTGTTGAATGGGGTGTAAGAAACCCCGCTTTTACCATTTGGCTCCATATCTAAGCCAAAGGAGCTTTAATTTCCGAAACACAAGTTTTGACTCTCTTGCCATTCTCGGTGGTGATAGCGTTGATTATTGTCTTTTTGATGATTAGGCAAGGGCTTCTGGGCAACGTTCGGTGCTCCGGAGTTGAAATGGATCCAATTTTTATTCCGCATTTGTTGTACCAGTCTCTTGAATATGAGACATTTTTCAATTGAATGCCCCTGCACACCTCCATGATATTCACAGTGGGCGTTCTCGTCAAACCATTTCGGATAGGGGGCTTTATCGGATCCATATGATAGGGTGACACCGCGTGAGTGTCGAAGAGTTGTTGATATAACTCTTTATATGTCATGGGAATGGGATTGAATTGTTCCCTTTTCCTTTCTCTTATTGGCTCTCTCTGAGTTTGGTTAGAAGTACTGGATGGTACAGCTACAGTTGTTTTTAAACTTGAGATCGTAACACTTTTTGCTAGCGTTGTAGGTGTTGACATTGTTGATCTCACGGTCTTTGTTCTTCATGGGAGGCTTTCTACTAAAGTCACCTCCCTCAATCTTTCCTTGCTTTATGGCCAATTCAACCATCTCACCAACCATAACCAGATCTGAGAAACTTCCCGATGTGATTGCCACCAGGTGCCCGAAGTAAGGTATCTCAGAGTCTGCACAAACAGCTTCCTTGTTTCTTTTTCATCCAAGGGTGAATGAACTTGCACAGATAAATCCCTCCATCTCTGTGTGTACTGTCAGAAATTTTCGTTATACTTATTTTCCAGACTCTGCAACTCGGTCTGGTCTCATGTTATTGATATGTTTGTACTGCTCTAAGAAAGACTTGGCTAAGTCTTTCCACGTCTTGATATGAGTTCGGCTGAGTTAGTTGTACCACCGGATAGCTGAACCGGACAGGCTCTCCTGAAAGCAATGGATCAGGAGTTGGTCATTTCCTCCATATCTCTTCATCTTCCGACAGAACATAGTGATGTGGGCTGAGGGGCAGCTATTCCCATCAAACTTCTCAAACTCAGGGACATTAAACTTTTGTGGGAGCACCAAATCTGGAACTAGGCTTAGTTCCATTGCGTCCACTACATAATAATCATGGTCTCCTTGGACCATCTTCATCTGGTCTTCCAAAAACTTAATCTTTTCTTCCATTTTCTTTGCTTTGTCCTCTTCATCGAAATCCGGGACATTGTAATCGTTCGGATGATTGTCAGGACAGGTTGTGGAAGTTTGCACCTTCGTAGCAGATGATGTTTTCCCATTAGTAGCGGAAGAGTTTTCTTACAGTCCGGGCAAGATTCCGAGTGAAATAACCAGCTGTGGGGTCGGAGAAATGGTTACCCCCTCAGAAGCACCTACTCTGGGTGCACTTGCTTGTGGTTGTAAACCAGATAACTTAGCAGCGATTTGGTCAACTAAGGATTCTTGGCTTTTCTTGATGGACTCCATGGTACTTTGACTATTTTGAGCCATTTTTTCCTCCAATTCTTTCTGAGTCTTGCCATGTTCTCATCGATCTTTTCCATTCTAGCCTCCATTTGTCTCTTTTTCACTCGAGTATTGTGCGGGTGATGCGTATCTAATACTTGTGGTGGTAAGCTTGGTGTCTGAGACATGTTCTGTTAGTTAATACAAATGTAAAAACATGGAAAATATAAAATAAAAAACAAACATGAAATGTAAAATGCAATGTATGATGTATGCAATTTGGAGGCATTGATCCAGAAAAGTGTTCATTATTATAAATAATCCTTATTCAGACAAAAATGTTGTATCTTTTAAGAGACATAAAAACAAATTAAAGGTACATTCGGACTAAATCCTCTAGACCCCGAACAGTTTCTAATAAGTTGACTAGTCTTCTGCCTTCATCTGTCACTGGTTGAATGCCTTATCGAACCGCTCTAGCTTCCCTTGCCAGGCCATGAAGATGACGAGCTGCTTTTTGTACTTGATCCAGGAAATCTCGGATGGTTGTGTCTCTGGCCCTCACCCTTCGCTGTGCTTGCTCCTAACGGAAACACCACTGTAATCCTCCATCGAAGGGCACTATATGAAGCTCGTTTGCTTGCCTCTTGAACCCATCTACAATAGCTTCTAACTCAACTATTGTCTTGCCATCTTTCTCATGTTGTTTCTCTAAATCAGCCACCCGGATTCTCAAGCGTTGGTTCTGATGTTGACTGTCTGCCAAGCGTCTTTGAGCATTCTTCAGCTGTTCCTTCCAAGCTCTTTTATCAGGCCCCTTGAATTTTCTTTTCAGACTGTGAGCTTCGACCTTTCAGTATTCAGAGGTTACCTTCAGCTTGGAGTTATCCTTGACTTTATCCTGATACCCCTTTCTCAAATCTTCGAGCTCAAAACGGACTCTTTTCTATTCTCTTTCCAGTTTGTCTTCTCTATCTTTCTGAGAGTCGGCATCAAGCTTTCACTGATAACGTTCAGCTTCAAGTTCCTTAACCCTCAGTTTCAGCTCGTTATTCACAGCTTCAAACTCTGCCTTGGCTATCTCAAGTCCAGAAGGGACAAACATGAGACGTTCCTCTATAGTCCGGGTGTCTTCACAGTCTGGCACCGGGATGTTATCATTCTTTCTCAATCTTTGCCACTCCACATAATCCGGAGTAAGCATGTCTCTGGCAGCTACGACATCCATCCGAAATACTTTCTTCCATGACTCAGCTGCTTCCTTGATCATCTTCTTATAGTTGTCCCCGCTATACACAAACTCTGATTTAATTAGTCCGCATGTTGCGGGGACAAACTAACGTGCCCCATACTGTTTCAGTGCCAATAACGGAGCATACCCAACTGCACCCCAAAGTCCAAGTAAGGTCATAGTATCAGAATCCCCACACCGAAAAAAATGTCACTGAGGAACAACCAGGGGACTCTCTAGGTAATATCCCGATCCTGAAGATGTGTAAAGAATTTCATCCACTTTTCCTTTGAAGCGCTTTCATGCCATTTCATTGTGATGAACTCTCCCAAAGGTGAATAGGTGGTACTAAATCGGCGGTACGCAACCCCGTTAGTCTTCCAGAAGTGGCTATGAATCCAGACTTGAAGGAGCTGAACACACCCAATGAACCTGCCTCCACCAGATCTTTTGCAATGATTAAGAGACCGAAAGGTCTTGGCTAATATGGTCGGTGCTGGGTTGACCCGTTTCGGTAGTTGTTCAAAC